AGGAAGCCCGATGCGGGGCTCGATCCCAGGACCCTGGGATCATGACCTGAGCCGAAGGCAGACGCTTAACGACTGAGCCACCCAGGTGCCCCTTGCTGTGTCTCTTTCTGTCAAAAAATAAATAAATAAAATCTTTTAAGGAAAAAAAAAAAAAGAAGCAGCAGCAGCCCAAGCAGTCCAGAAGCACCAAGCTTCAATGTGCTCAGTGAGCACTGCTGTGCAGGACACAGCAGTAACTGTTTAGTCATCTCTTGGTATCCACTGCTTAAGAATTGGTCAGGGAAGGCAGCTTTCTAAAATGGCTTAAAGAAAAATGTTTTGGAGCTAAAAAATAAAACGAATTCTAGGATATTCTAAATACTCAACCAAAACGACACTAGACTGTTGTAAATTTTCAATTATCCAAAAGAAAGTTAAAAAAAAAATAACGTTTTACTGAAAACAGTTATCATAGGGAAAATGCCTTTTTAAGCCAAAATCACTTGCACTTCCTATTTTATCCACAAGACGTTAAAATTTGATCTAAGAATGCTACTCTGTCAACTAAAAACTCTTGTAAACTACAAAGCACTACAACAACATTAACAAGCAGAATAAATAAATCACAAGTACATGATTAATCTAACTTCTGCTTAACCCAAGGGGGACTACCACAATAGGTATATGTGTATATACGTATGTTTGCCTCTGTGCGTGTTGCACACACACAGTGTTAAAAGTGGGCCAGAGTCTGAGTCACAACTACTCAACCCTGCCACTGTAACATGAACAGAATGAGCGTGACTGTGCTGCAGTCAAACTTCATTCATGAAACAGGCAGGGAGGCAGACTCGTCTGCAGGCTGTAGTTTGCCGATGCCTGTTTTAAAGCCACACAGACCCGGACTGTTTCACGTCTCTAAATCTCACTTTTCTTCTCTGTTAAATGATGAGTGCCTAACTCAGGCTGTGTTGTGAAGATGGACTGAGATAATACGAGCAAAAGATATGTTAGAATGTCTAGCACACTGATCGTGACAAATGATAATCATGGGGGCGCCTGGGTGGCTCAGTCGTTAAGCGCCTGCCTTCGGCTCAGGTCATGATCCCAGGGTCCTGCTCAGCAGGGAGCCCGCTTCTCCCTCACCCTCTGCCTCTCCCCCTGCTTGTGTGTGTTGGCGAGTGCACGCGCTCTCTCCGTCAAATAAATAATCTTTAAAAAAATGATAATCATGATTATTAATGAAATGAGGTAGGCACCTTAATCATTTAAGAGTTCTGACATTTCATTGTCAGAAATCTCATTACCAGAACATATATGTAATGTAAGTAGCAGAGGGAGATGTTCAAGAACGTGCGATTCTTCTTTACCTCTCCACTAAGAGAATGCCTTTCCCTCTGCTCTCCCAGGTTACTTGATTAAAATGAGATTCATTCAAAAATATTTATTAAGAAGCTAGTAAATTTCAATCCATGGCATTGTACTTGTGCCTAGACTCTGATGCACATAGTGAAAGTGGAAAATACATTGTAGCACGAGTTATTTGCACTTTCAATAGTTTTTCTGTGGTGTGAGATTCCTCACCATTCTTAACATATTAAGCATAATGAATGAGTTTCAGTAACATATAAGTCAATTATAATCATAAAACTTTAAGCAATTTAAGTGGGTAGTGAGTGTGGTTGTTAGGGTAGTTCGGTAGGTACACGGGAAGGTAGACAGATGTTAGGAAAATCCTAAATAAATTTTATCTGATAAATGGTACTTTGAGATGTTTACAGTACAGTTGTAGCTTAAATTAGAAAAAGGCATTTTCAAGGCTAAAATGTTCTAAGGCAGTGAATGGATGTTTTGCTTATTAACTCTAAGCATGGTCTAAAATGAACTATCTGTTATAAGGGTACAAATTATGCAGCTTATAACATCCGATGGCACTTCTAAAACCAATCAATGAGTGGAATTTACTCGCTTGATTTCGGGAGCCTTGAGGTTGGCAGGCTACCACTGCAATGGGCAAAATGCCCTTAACAGATGGGCTAAAGCTCAGGACATGCCAGAAGATCAGCAAGCGCATTAACATGGAATCCTGGGCTCACTTCTTTCCAAGTCAAAACAACAGTCTATGCAGAGCCATTCATTTATTATTAGGAAAGCCAAATGACTTGGGAATTTGCCTTCAGCAGCCCCCAGCAACTCTGGATTGACATGCTAAAGCAAAAGGCAGATTTATACATGAAATCACCTGCCAAACACGAGTGCTGAGCAGAAGGTTCTACGGCAAAGCTGTGAGGCAGTCTGTGGAACAGCTTCCCTGAACTAAGAGGCAACCAGTTCTTGACCTTTGGCCACAGAATCATGGCAAAAGCACAACGTCAAGCAAATCCCAAATTCATTTGAAAGAAAAAACTCAAGGAGATCAACAGCTGAGCAGGCCACAACCACAAACTAAACAAGGACGAGAGAAACAAACAGCACTGATCAATCTGTCCTGAGCTTGGGGCTCAGCCACTCTCAACTCTTACTGAACGCAGCTGGTCCCACAGCCACGGGCTTGCCTATGGCCACGGACTAGGGCAATTACGAGGGCCAGAGCCACAGAGCCAGTGTAGTGGTTCCAGGTGGCCAGTGGAGGACCATCAGAGAAAACCCACGGGAAAACTTAAGAACTTTTTCCTTCCGATCTAAAACTTGGTACAAGTGAGGGATTCACAGAACCCATGTAGTCCTATGACGAGGACAAAATACGCATTTGTCTGCAAGACTGCCTGAACTGCTAAAGAGAAATCATCATTCAGCACAACCTGCAGTCATCCAGCCACAGAAAGGACAGAAGCCCGGGAAACCACAGAAATACTTAAAAAGTTAACAATCCTCCCATTAAACGACACATTCACGTGAGAATCTAATTCATACTGAAATGTACCCTTTGAAATGTTGCCTATCAAGAATAGATCATCTTCAGCACATTTGAGCCAGTATACACCACAGAGGGATAAAAGGCAACTGAAAAATACCTGGAGAGAAAGTAAATGGGACAAGGAAAACACTGAGCCATGAATAACTCACCTCAGGAAAGTAAAGACTATAAACAGGATGTGTTATCTTTGATTTGGTTTCCAGGAGAGCTCTCTCCTTTCGCTGTATACTTTGTTGTAATTCTTGCCACTCCTAGTAAAGTAAAAATCAAACCCTTGAAATCAAGTACGTTTTCAAATGTTCTCATTGAACAGTTTCCACCTTCTTCCAGCTATTATTCCTGACAATGCTAACTACCACGGAGTTCAGTTCCACAAACTTGATCATTTCCCTGCTCAAAACTGTTGTAACGCATCATTTCATAAATCAAACCTAAGCCCTTTAGCATGAACTATACAGTCATAATCTGACCTGACCTGGGCCAATCTCTCCACTCCAGTCTCCTGTCACTGCCTATCTCTGCACTTTCTATTCTCGTCACTTCAAACTACCTTGACTTCTCTGAATTCACCAAGCTATTTCACTCCTCCAAAACCATGTCTGGATTTTTGTTTTCTCTCTCTTTCTCTAACCTGGAAAATTCCTACTATTATTCCTTCGGGAGCTGCTAAAGCCTAAACCATGAGCTCCTGAATACCAGAAATTTCCCTCAACTGAGATGATCACTCCCTCCTTTGTGCTTTCACTGTACCTTGCACAAAATGTGCATAATCTCTTTTGTACTTTAATGTTTATTTATAAGTCTGCCTTCCCCACTAGCCTACTATCATTCAAGGGCAGAAACTGTTTTACATTTGGCTTGCATTCCTCTCATCTAACACAGTGCTTGCAACGTGACAGATAACGAATAACTGTTTGTATAATTATTTGACAACTGAATGAATGTATTTTTGGTATCTAAAGAAACTAATCTGCCACTTCTACTAATCCTAATGCTATACTCAGAAAGGAATATGTCAACTCTTTCTCAAAGCACACCTGGGGAAATAATATTCTTAATAGGCTTTAATTTCTTGGCAATCAATTTAATTCCCAAAGTACAAAAACAGTTGGGGCCAGCAACTGCTAAAAAGTCATCCTTGTTTTTCCCCACCACTCCCAAGGGCAAACTCCCCACCACATTACAGGCATACCTCATTTAACTGCACTTTGCACATCCGTACTTCTCAAATATTGCGGTTTTCACAAACTGAAGCTTTGTGGCAACCCTGTGTCGAGCAAGTCTACTGCTGCCATTTCTCCAACAGCATTTATTTGCTCACTTTGAGTCTCTGTGTTACATTTTGGTTAATTCTTGCAATATTTTAAACTTTTTAATTATATTTGTTATGGTAATCTGTGATGTACTGTAATAATTGTTTTGGGACACCACAAACCATTTTCACATAAGATGGCAAACTTAAACAATAAACGTGTGTGTTCTGACTGCACCACCAACGGGTTGTTCCCCCCATCTCTCCTCCTCTCCTTGGGCCTCCCTGAGACACAACAATATTGAAATCAGGCCAATTAATAATCCTACAATGGCCTCTAAGTATTCAAGTGAAAGGAAGAGCCGCACGTCTCTCACTTTAAATCAAAAGCTAGAAATGATTAAGCTTAGTGAAGAAGGCAAGTTTAAAGCCGAAACAGGCAGAAAGCTAGGCCTCTTGGGCCAAATAGCCAGATTGTGAATGCACAGGAAAAGTTCTTAAAGGAAATTAAAAGTGCTACTCCAGTGAACAACACGAAGTGGTAAGAAAGCGAAACAGCCTTATTGCATGTATGGAGAAAGTTTTAGTGGTCTGGACAGAATATCCAACTAGCCACAATATTTCTTTAAGCCAAATCTTAATCCAAAGCAAGGACCTGCCTCAATCCTATCAAGACTAAGAGAGGTGAGGTAGCTGCAGAAGAAAAATTTAAAGCTAGCAGAGGTTGGTTCATGAGGTTTAAGGAAAGAAGCCATCTCCGTAACATGAAAATGCAAGGTGAAGCGGCAAGTGCTAGTGTAGATGCTGCAGCAAGCTACCCACAAGATCCAGCTAGGGGAATTAATAAAGATGGCTACACTAAATAACAGATTTTCAATACTGACAAAACAGCCTTACACTGGAAGAAGATGCCATCTAGGACTTTCATAGCTAGAGAGAAGTCAATGCCTGGCTTCAAGAGACAGGCTGACTCTCCTGTTAGGAGCTACTGCAGCTGGTGATGTTCAGTTGAAGCCATTACTCACCGACCATTCTAAAATCCTAGGGCCCTTAAGAATTATGCTAAATCTACTCTGCATGTGCTCTCTAAATGGAACAACAAAGCCTGAATGACAGCACATCTGCTTACAACATGGTTTACTGAGTATTTTAAGCCCACTGTTGAGACCAACTACTCAAAAAAAATTTCCTTTCAAAATATTACTGCTCACTGAGAATGCACCTGGTCACTCAAGAGCTCTGATGGAGATGCACAGTAAGATTAATGTTGTTTTCATGCCTGCTAACACAACATCCATTCTGCAGCAAATGGATCAAGGAGTAATTATCACTTTCAAGTGTTACTAGCTTAGAAATATATTTTTTAAGGTGATAGCTGCCACAGATAGTGAGTGACTCCTCTGGTGGATCTGGTCTAAGTATATTGAAAATCTTCTGATTCACCCTTTTACGTGCCATTAAGAACATTTATGATTCATGGGAAGAGGTCAAAATATCAGTATTCACAGGAGTTTGGAAGAAGCTGATTCCAACCCTCACAGATTACTTGGAGGGGTTCAAGACTCCAGGGCGGGGAAGTAACTACAGATGTGGTAAGAACAGCAAGAGATCTAGAATTAGAGGTGGTGCCTGCAGATGGGACTGCATTGCTGCAATCTCATGAGAAGACTTGAGCAGATGAGGAGCTGCTTCTGATGGATGAGCAAAGAAAGTGGTTTCCTGAGATGGAATCTACTCCTGGTGAAGATGCTGTCAAAACTGTTGAAATGCCAACAAAGGATTTAAAATATTACAAAGACTTAGTTGACAAAGCAGTGGCAGGGTTTGAGAGGTCTGACTCCAATTTTGAAAGAAGTTCTACTATGGGTGAAATGCTATCAGACAGCATCTCATGCTAGAGAGAAATCATTTGTGAAAGGAACAGCCAATGCAGCAAACCTTATTGTCATCTTATTTAAAAAACTGCCCCAGCCACCCCAACCTTCAGCAACCACCACTCTGAAGAGTCGGCAGCCATCAACACTTAGGCAAGAGCTTCCACCAGCAAAAAGGTTACAACTCGCGAAAAGCTCAGATGATGGTTAGCATTTTTTAGCAATAAAGAATGTTTTAATTAAGGCGTGCATATTGTTTGAGACAATGCTATTGCATACTCTATAGACTACACTACAATATAGTGTAAACGTAACTTTTATACCCACTAGGAAACCAAAAAATTCATTTGATTTGCTTTATTGTGATGTCAGTTTCACTGTGGTGGTCTGGAGCTAAGCCTGTAATATCTCCAGGGTATGCCTGCAATTCCTTATACTTTTATCCTTTGCCCTTTACTTTTTTATCCTCTTTTCGGCCTCTACCTGTGCCTCACAGGCTATTCAGGGAATCCCCTTTTCTGTCCTAAACCACAAGGGTAACTTTTAGGTTGATGGCCCAGTAAGAAAAAAACAGAACAACACAAACATAAAGGAATAGCTGATCAGTTTACAGTTCATTTGCAGGAGTCTCTAAGGACCCATTATTTGTCCACCAAATCCTCTTTTTCTATAGCCCATCTATAAATCAGGTGCAACTTAATGCCACACCACAAGACTTCTTCCTATTCTCTCTACCCTCACAACCTTAGTAAGTTCCTTAGAGACTCCTCCTTTCCTTAATGTCTTATATACCTCTTAAACAAGGTGGCATTCTGTAAATGTTAGTCTTCTCCTTAAACAACCTCTTGACATTAGAGTCCACAGTAGTGTTTCTTTCCTCTAAACACTACCTAGAACTTTTGAAAGACTCCTCTAAGTAACTGCTTAGACCATAACCCACCTTTCCTAATTCATTTCCAGACTCAGCTCCAATGTTGAAAATTACTGTAAGACACCAAACTGACTTCTCCTCAAATCCACAACCTATACTAACAGCAATTTAAGATTTAAGAAAATTAAGAGGTCCGATCCTTGTTAGAAACTATTTTTCTTTATAATTCTGACCACCATCCCACAAACATATTCTCACAAAGTAATATAAGATTATAAAATATACGGGTATTAAGACAAGCACACAAACAAGTAAACAAATGAAAAAACAACAAAAACCAAAACTATCAGAGGTATATAATTCTAATTATTTAAACCTATAAAAGTCTTACTGCTTCATCATCTTTGTTTTGTTTTTCATCTTGCTCTCTATCAGAGTCTCTGTCACTACCATCATCTTTTTCACTTTGGGATTCTCTATTGGTTTCTTCTTCTTCAGAATCACTGCCTTTGTCAGAAACTTCTTCTTCGTCTTCCTTTACTGCAGCTTCCTAAAAGGAAAAAGCAACCACAGAAGTTCTGAATATCTCAGTGAATTCTGAGTCCCTGAAGCTAATTATTGTCATTATAATTAAATTAGCTCAAGATTATAATTTCACTATTCATACAGAATTTTAGAGAATTATAAACACACGTATTTATACATATGTGGTAGTCAGACTAAAGACTTTAACATTTGGCTTATTTGTCTATTGTTAGTTATTTTATTTATTTTTCATGTTTGTAAAATAAAAAATATTTTACCTTTATTTGCAAAGTATACTACTGCAATGGCAACATGGTTCATCTTTCAAAACATCAATCACACAATATATATGTACTTTTTATTAAAGATTTATTTATTTATTTGAGACAGTGAGCACGCACACATGGCATCAGCGGGGGGGGGGGGGGGGGGAGCCGGCAGAGGAAGAGAGAATCTCAAGCAGACTCCCTGTTGAACACAGAGCCCAAGGATGCAGGGCTCAATCTCATGACCCTGAGATCATGACCTGAACTAAAACAAGAGTCAGATACTCAACCAACTGAGCCACCCAGGCACCCCACTTATACAATATATTTTATTTGAGATGGGGAAATGGAAAGCTCATAGAAAAGCACTGCTTTGAGAATTTAATATTATCTTCTATAGCTGATAGAGTATAATGTAGTAAGGAAAGCCAATATCCCAGACAAAATATTTACTAATCCATTTCAAGAAGCAAGAAAAAGAACAGCAAATTAAATATAAAAAAACTCGAAGTAAATACCAGAGACCCGAAGTCAATTAAAGAGAAGGCAGATATACAAAGGGAAACCTAAGCAAAACCAAAAGTTGGTTCTTTGAAAAGATTAATAAAACTGAGATAAGACTTTTATTAGGCAAGACTGATCAAAGGAAAAAGAGAATATAAATTACCAATATTAGGAATAAAAGAGACATTACTACAGCTCCAAAAGAAATTACAAATAGAGGATATTATGAATAACTTTGTCAATAAATTTGATAACTTAGAAGAAATGGACCAATTCCTTGAAAAATGTAATTTACTAAAATTGATACAAGGAAAAAAGTAGAATATGTTAAAGAAATGGACTCTAAAACTAAAAACCCTTTTTAAAAACTCCAAGCCCAGATGGCTTCTCTAGATAGTTCTTCCAAATAAGAAACAAACCCAATCTTACACAGACTCTTCCAGGAAAAAGAAAGAAAGAATACTTCCTAACTTGTTTAATGAGGCCAGCATAAAACGGATACAAAACCTGGCAAGGGTATTATAAGAAAGGAGAATGGCAAAACAATATTCTTTCATAAAACAGATGTAGGAATTCTAAACAAATACTATCAAATCCAGATAAATATGAAAAAGGATAATATGCTACAACGAAATGAATTTGTTCCAGGAATGCAAGGACAGCTTAAAATTTTTAAATGCTTCAACATAATTCACTACATTATAGAATGGAGAAAAATCACATCAATCTCAACAAATGGAGAAATGGCATTTAATAAAGTTCAGTACTGTTCATGATAAAAATTCTCAGCAAACCTGATAAAGAATATCTACAAAAACCCTATAGCTAACATCACACTTAATAGTTTGTTCCCTTTCTCCTGGAGATAAACAAGAAGACAGGGGTAACCACCGTCCTCACTCCTAACCAACGTTACTACACTGAAAGTTTCAGCCAATACAGTAAGACAGAAAGGAAGAAAAAGCAAAAAGATTAAAAAGAAAAAAGTAAAACTGTCTTTATTCCCAGATGGCATGATTGTGTACACAAAATCTTTTAAAAAGTACCTACAAATGGTTAGAATTACAGGCATACCTTGGAGATATTGCAGGTTCAGTTCCAGACCACTGCAGTAAAGAGATTACCAGAATAAAGTCAAATGACTTTTCGTTTCCCACTACATATAAAAGTTATGTTTACACTATACTGTAGTATGTTAAGCGTGCAAGCAATATTCTGTCTAAAAAGTGTGCATGCCTTAATTAAAAAATACATTATTGCTAAAAAATGCTAACCATCACAGGAGCTTTCAGTGAGCTGTAATCTCTGATCACAGATCACCATAGCGAATATAATAATACAAAGTGTAAACTATTGAGGGAATTACCAAAATGTGACAGAAACACAAAGTGAGCAAATACTGCTGGAAAAATGGTGCTGACAGATTTGCTAACACAGGGTTGCCACGAACCTTCAATCTGTAAAAAATGCAGTATCTGACAAGTGCAAGAAACTGAAGTGCAATGAAACAAGGTATGCCCATATTGTCAGTTCAAGACTCCTTGATACAAGGTCAGTATTTAGAAGACAACTGTATCTCTATGTGCCAGCAATAAACACTGAAGAATGGATTTTTTTTTTTTTAATGTTATATGCAACAGCACCAGAAAGCATCAAATACAAAAGGGTAAATCTAATGAAAGATGTGTCATACCTCTGTCACTGGGAATTACAAAACACTGCTGAGAAAAAATTAAGGAAGATCCAAGTTAATAAAGATAAACCATGATTATGAGTAAAAAGACTCAATACTGTGGGGCACCTGGGTGGCTCAATTAAGCGTCTGCCTTCAGCCCAGGTCATGATCCCAGGGTCCTGGGCTGGAGCCCCACGTAGGGCTCCCTGCTCAGCGGGGAGCTTGCTTGCTTCTCCCTCTCCCTCTGCCCCTGCTTGTGCTCTCTCTCTCAAATAAATAAATAAAATCTTAAAATCTCTGATAGGCAGAAATGTCAACAGGACTCAAAAGCAATAACCATAAAATTAATGAAAGACTTCCTTAAAATTAGGTATCACCAAAGGCTTCCATTAAGAGAGTAAAAAAGGGGGCGCCTGGGTGGCTCAGTTGGTTAAGCGACTGCCTTCGGCTCAGGTCATGATCCTGGAGTCCCGGGATCGAGTCCCGCATCGGGCTCCCTGCTCAGCGAGGAGCCTGCTTCTCCCTCTGACCCTCCCCCCTCTCATGTACTCTCTCTCATTCTCGCTCTCTCAAATAAATAAATAAAATCTTTAAAAAAAAAAAAAAGAGAGTAAAAAAGGACTCATATCCAGAATATATAAAGGAATCCTACAAATCCGTAAGACAACCCAATAGAGAAAGAGGATATTCAAATGGCTGCTAAGTATATGAAAAGATGCTCAATATCATTAGTTATCAGGTAAATACAAACCACACACAGAGATACCATTACAGATTCACTGTAGTGGTTAAAATAAAAAAGAATGGTAAAACCAAGCATTAGTGAGGATGTGGAACAAATGAACTCATATTCTGCTAGGAGAAACACAGAATAGTACAACTTTGGAAAACAGGCTCTTTCAATAAGCTAACCATATACACTTATTTTATGACCCAGCAATTCCACTGCTAGGTACATACCCAAGAAAAACGAAATGTCCACAAAATGACATGTACATGAATAAGGACAGCATTTTTATTCAATAACAGGCAAAAACTAGAAACAACCCAAATGTCCATTAACTGCAGAACAGATAAGCTGGAGCGTATTCATAAGATGGAGTATCACATACACACAAAGAATGGACAGCTGCTACACACAACACAGATGAATGTCATGGACATAACGTTGAATGAAAGCAGACAAACGTATTTCCACTTACATGAAGTTTAAGAATAAGCAAAACTAATCTATGGTAATAACAGCCAAAACTGGAAGGTATGGAGGTAGATGGAGGGGTCACTGACTAAGAAGGGACACAAGTGAGCTCTCCAGGGTGCTAAGCTTTTCTATCTTAGTCTGGGTACCATGGGTACATACATACGTAAAATTTCAGGAGCTACACATAGGATGTGAACATTTTAGTGTATGTTATAATTCAACACAGATAATGATAATAACAGTAATAAACTTACACTCCCAACAACTCCATTTGCCTGCTTTTGTTTCTGTTGCTTTGATTGTGGTAAGGGCACAGGTGTAGGTTTTTTTTTTAAAGGTTTCTTTTTTTTTGATTTAGCAGTTTTCTTGGGTCCTTTGCTCTTCTGCTGCCATCCTCCTTTTGTCCTGTTCTTATTCGTATCACCCTGCTATAAATAACAACACACATACACACTCAGAAGTTATAGCAACAGTCTCATTTGGGAGTCTGAATAATTTTTAGATGAAAATGGCTAAACTAAATGCTTTCACAAACTGAATTACTCTCCCACAACAATATAAATCAATCAGAGAACAAAAGAAAACGCTTCCTTCACCAGGAAAGATAAGTATGAAAAATCAAGTTTTACCCCATCTTCTGCTGGCTGTTCCTCTGCAGCACAGATCGACTGCTCCTTTTCAAATACTTCCTAGAAGCAGAGAGAAGAAAAATATAAAGTCTATCAACCTATGTTTACCTTTCAGATAAAGCAATCTTTCAAAATAGATGACCAATAAGTTTTTTAACTGGTGACAATTGGTGGAGGGAGGGAGAACAGCAGACTTCTGGCAATTACTAATGATGTGTGCAAATTCAGCAATTACTAAATGACACTTCAAAAGTTACCTTCTGAAATACCTCACATGTGTCTTGAATACATTTTGAAAAGTACAAATGCAATGACTTAAGATATATAAACTCATTATAAAGTCAAGAATATTTCATAGTTTAAAATAACTATGGAAGGGCACATGGCTGGCTCAGTCGGTAGAGTGTGAGACTCTTGATCTCAGGGTTGTGAGTTCAAGCCCATATTAGGGGTAGAGTTTACTTAAGAAAAACAAATTTTTTTTAATTTTTTAAAAATTAATTACATATATAAATAAAATACCTAAGGGGTGGAACACTGAGGAAATCCATAAAATCTAGACATATCCACCATATAATCCACTTAGGATCAGAATAGAAGGCATAAATTTAGGATTTATATTCCAGTAAGGTTTCAGTGAGAATCTATACTAGAAGATAATAAGTGATGTTGGTTGTGTTTAATAAACTCCCTGGAATTACTAAAGCTAACAAGTAAAAACAATGATAACTCAGGCTTTAAACTGCTAGCCTAATTCAGGGGTCCACAATCTATGGCCCATTGCCTGGTTTTCAAATAAAGTTTTATTGGAACTCAACGATGCCCATTTGTGAATTCAATAGTTGCTACAGAAACCATGTGGCCCATAAAACCTAAAACTTTACTAATTGGACCTTTAGAGAAAAAGTTTGCCAATCCCTAGTCTAATTCTACCATCTCTGCTTCATTTCTTCATTTATTAGCTGGGTTTTAATACTTAATTACTCTGAGGTTTCGTGCATACAAGAACTTGAAGATAAATATTTGATTTTCTCCCTTCCTCCAGGGCAATTTTGCTTTTTTTCCCCTACCAATTATCCCAGAAGTGTCAACAGCTCAAGGCCAATTTTTACTCATTTTTCAGGCTGGGAATTCCAAAGCATGTAGGCAATATAAATTTGGATTCTATGCCCAATCCTAGCCACTGGCTTTGAAGTTTCCTCTTCTCCCGGGCGGGACACTTCTCATCCAGAGTCCATGACACAAATGCTTCCTTACCACTTGCTACCATAAAATCAACATCTTTGATTTGATATATCCTACTACAAAGTATGCTTTTCCGACCAGAGTTTTAGAGATGGGGTTTAAATGCAGAGTATGTTTCCTGCAGATATTCACAGGTCCCAGAGCAGAACAGGCTAAAATTTCCCACTAGTTGGATATGCGGAGTTAAAAATAGTACAGTCAATTAAAAACGAGTTACAACTATAGGCCTAACTTGGGAGGTAATAGTTGACTTGGGAGGTAATACAAATATGTAATAGAAACTAAGAAAAACAAGATATACAGGAAACATATACAATGTGATTGAATTTAATCAAAGAGAATGAGAAAAGTACCAGGGTGTATATGTACATACAGTGAAAAGGCCCAGGCATTAAATACGAGCATGGAGAAAGATAAAAGGATACACACAAGACTAAATTCTGGTCGCCTGGGACTGACAAGGGGTTTCCTGAGGGAGGTGGGTGAGAGAAGGAATCCATGATCATGAAAACACCATTTAACCCCACAGGTATTCATGCATTAGGGTATCTAAAGCGATGAGCTTCAAAATCAATAATCTCAGAGTGGCAGGACTTTAGGTGATTTTAATCTCTTCCTATACTTTTCTGCAATGCCTGAAGTTTTTTCCCAGACAGCCTTTATTTTTCACATAATGAGAAAAAAAATATTTTCATTATAATTTTAAAAATTAAGAGTAAAATCAGAATTGACCAAGAAGGAATAGGTAATGAAATTCACAACAATCAATAATTAATCTTTGTATAGTACTTTAGACTTTAAATACTAAACTCACATTACCTTATTATTATAATGTTTTTACAGGGAATTAACAAATCATCACAGGAAGAATTAATCTATTTTCCAAAGGTTTTCTGTTATGTAAAAACTAATGGGAAAACTATGAATATTAATTTAAAATATCAAAACAGCTAAATAGACTGCCTGGGTGGCTCAGCTGGTTAAGCGACTGCCTTCAGCTCAGATCATGATCCCAGGGTCCTGGGATTGAACCCCACATCGGGCTCCCTGCTCGGCGGAGAGCCTGCTTCTCCCTCTCCCACTCCCCCTGCTTCTCCCTCTCCCACTCCCCCTGCTTGTGGTCCCTCTCTCGCTGAATCTCTCTCTCTGTCAAAGAAATAAATAAAATCTTAAAAAAAAAAACAGCTAAATAGGACTTGCAAAATTAGATTTTACTACTATAATAGTTTTGACTTTGAGAATATGTGACTTAAAATGAGAAAATTAATGTAAGAACTCTGACACATAACTTTTTTTTCCTTTTTTTTCATTGAAGTATAGTTCACACTATATTAGTTTCACGGTGTACGACACAGTGATTCAACAACTCCCTCTGTTACGCTACGTAACCATACAACACTGTTACAATATCCTTAACTATATTCCGTGCTATATTTTGAATCCCATGACTTATTCCATAATCGGAAGTCTGCACCTCCTTTTCCCCTTCACCCCTTAACACATAACTCTTTTTTTTTTAACACATAACTCTTAAAGCATAAAAATAAAAAGAGATGACTTACTGCCATTGTTTGCCTTGTCAATTTAACCAACACTGTAACCAGGGATCCTACTGTGATGTTGTTGCTATCTTCATCATCCAATACTACAAGATGAGAGTAAAAAATGAGTAAACAATAAAATTCAATTTGGTACTTCAGTATTTCAAATATATTTTAAACTCAATAAAAAATATTTGACTGCCTACTCTATATAAAACACTCCACTAAATGCCTTCAACAATGCACTCATTTAATCTTTAAAATAGCTCTCTGAAGATTATTTCCACTTAGAAGAAAGTGAGGTTCAAAACTAAAGTAAAATGCCTGAGGTCACATAATGGCTATATCGGCTCTGCCAAGTTTCAAACCCTGGTCTTTGAAAACGAAGTATAATGTGAGGCCTACTGTACCACAGCTTTCTTTCACAGTGATATAAAAATCTGTCACTCTATTAAATTGTACAAACCTTGTATTCACGAGATTTTATCTATATGATCAATGCCAGTCTGCCTGTCAGAAATAAAATAATTAGAACTAGTATTCTAAGTCACATTAATTTCTTAAGGCAAGAACTTCGAAGTTTTGTTTATAGTAAAAAGCACCTTAAAAAGCTTTCGCAATTGCTTAATTTTTCAAAACCACATTTGCTACACATATTGCCAAAAGCTAATAAAATAAACTTGACATTAAAACTAATATTAAAATTAATAAATGAAGTAACTTACCAAACATATCTTATTCAAATTCATTTTTCCTGCAAATTTTATCTGTAAGAGCTTTCTTCACTATGTATTTCTGCCTAAAATTTTTCTAAGTTATGTTTATTTTACACAGATTTAGATTAGCATACTCTGTTCTGGCCTACATTAACACACCACCAGTTGGAAAAGAACGGCCTCCAACAAACTCTAACTACTTTCTCCTCCATTACTGGCTGTGAGGTGCAACAGCTGGGCATCAAGAAGGATACAATATCCTGGGGCACCTGGGTGGCTCAGTCGGTTAAGCACCCGACTCTTGATCTCAGCTCAGGTCACAATCTCAGGGTATGGAGATCAAGCCCTGCATCGGGCTCCACGCAGAGTATGGAGCCTCTTAAGATTCTCTCTCCCTCCTCTCCCTCTGCCCCTCCCCA